CTGTCTGCTAATACTGTTAGTTTCAAGGTTTGTCTGAGATGAGATTTTTATAAGAAAGTTCTTGTGTGCCCTAAGGTACACATAACATACTGCTTTCAGATAAAAGTAGGTACTGTTTAGTTGAAGAGAACTCGTATTATCGATTCTATTAGCCTCTTCTTTCTCGTCCTCCCTGAAGATAAAGAAGTATTCTTTAAATGCGGTGCAAATCTTCAAAGAGTGTGTGGATGATTGATAAGATTCAGCAGGAGTAAAGAGGGTCGTTTACGCGTTCCGGCTGTTTCGTATTTCCCTAGCTAAGCAGCCCCAGTTCGCGTTACAAGGGTTTGCCGCGTGCGTATTTACGATCCTGGAGGCTTCTGTCGTCGCACCCTGGTGCCACCGATTCTCGACGCTCTTTCTAAACCGGCGTCTCCAATAAAGAGACAACAACGACGGCAGGTCGCGACGCTGTTCGTTAAGCTGCTTTGGTGTACATAACTTATTAATTACAGTTGACTAATGCTCTCCAGCTGTGGCACAGCATACGCTTTTACCCTCTCCTTCCATTTTGGTCGTAGCTCATTCCTCGAACTTTCTCCCAGAGTTTTCTCGACGGCAACAGCCCTTAATGGAGGAAAAGAGAGTGGCAAGAATAGGAAGAGGGTGGTGGAAAAAAGACGAAGGTCGGGGTGACGAGCGAGACCCGGCCAGAGAAGAAAAGAAAGGCGACGAGGGGAGAGAACACCACCAGGCAGAGGACGATGGGACGAAGAAGAAGGTGGGACAGAAGAGAGTACAGCGCGAGGGACGCCAGGCAGTAACTCACGCCCCCGAGAGGATTACCTACCTTGGCAAGGCTGGAGGAGGGTGTACCCCACGTTGAGCTACGATCTTGCTGCGTAGCTACGCGTTTCTCATACCGAGTGTCTCCGGGACTCTCGTGCCTCGCAAACAGAGTTCCTCGTGGCCGTGAATGTTTCGAATAGGCGCATACAACCGGAAACCCAAAATATTCGACTTATAAGCGCGACACATGTACACTTGACCAACCGAATGGATTTCTGACCTTCTGTCGGGCTCGGGTTTCAACTTGGGACTGAACGACAAAGTCTTTTTTAATTATGTTCATGATATATACGGTTAACTTGGGTAGAACTACCGGGTTAGGTGGTACTTTAACATATCTGCTAAGTTTGTACAATACTCTGACGTGTAGGCTCACTCCGCAGAACAATCGCCATACATTTCTAAATCATCCTGCACGTACACCCCTTGTATCAAAAGGGGTTAGAGTTAGAGGTATAGGTCTATAAAGGGTGTTTCTCTCCCATAAGCCTAATCATCGTATTCGAAATATTCCCTAAGACGTACGTCTCTCCGTTGGATACCGATACTCGACCGAAGCAAACACGGTAATTGGTATTGCATTACCATTCGTCTGGGAAGGGAGATGAATTCTCCAAGACGGCAAGCTAAATTGGCCGCGTTTAAATTGACCCTTTACTGAGGGGGTAGTTGAATCAACGTAACAAGAAATGTTGGGGAGAGGTTCCTTTTCGATTGATGCGGCCATCAGTAACCGTCTTCCAAAGTAAAAGCCTCGAAACCCAACAGGGGGTTGCGAGCCTACGGGTAGGAAGTATTTTGAGTTGGGGATTTCTGCGAAGGTCCTTCATGCTACCAACCAATTCACTTACTTTGATTTGATTGGCTCTGCGGTATGATCCGGTTTTGGCGTGCGCGATCTCCGCGGGAGGGAAGAAACGAGGCCGGAAGAGAGGGAGAGAAGGTGACCGTAGAAGGAGGGCCTTTGGCATCGTGTTTTGTGAAGCCGCAACGCAGAATTATATCGGCAAATCCCCAGCAGCAATCAACGTATTGGTTGTTCTTATTAGAGTTGGCAACAGCTAAAGTTTCTATACCCCTCCCTCTCTGTTTATGGTTGACTACATCTACAAGCAGTTCCTTCTATTCGTGGGAGCCCCTTTTGATCTCTAACCTTCCCAATGAGCCGACCAAATATTAGGATTATCTCGCCAATGTTCCACGCTAGTTCGCCTTCAATCGGTTACGAGTATACGCGGATGAACTATGTAAAAATCATTAGAATGAAGATGAAATAAAAAAACGTATCTTTTTCTTCTTCTTTTAAGAAACATATAAGTTAAGATCGAAATATTTTTATGTAGGTTAGAAGAGCCCATCTCCGTTTTATATCATCCCCCTTTGTCCCCGGACATCCATCGAGATCTTCTTTCTTGTTTCCCGGATGAAACACGTTTCACGGTCTCAGCATAAAATTGATCCACCCCCTTGGTTAAACAGCTACCACCCGCCTCTTCTTACTTTTCCGAGAACGTGGCGGCCTCGGAGTTTTCCCCTCTAACTTCGTTCCACCACGATATCCCACGAGACCCACCCAAACGGGGGCGAGAAGACTATAGTGGTTGAGCAAATTCCGAAAAAGCGACGGACTGGACGAATTCTATCATACAGACTACAAAGTAATATGATTTTCTAGTAATATTCTATAAAAATTGAAATTAACACTTTAACATACTTAGTGTACAATGTACGAATTATTTATATATTCCAAAGTGGTGATTTCGTGATGCACAGCACCAGAAGATATTAAATATATCGATCGTCAACGTATTAAAGAAATAGTGATGAAACGGAAGAAAATAATGCACGCAGAATTGTATCAGAGGGTAAGGGGCTGGCTTGTCGCATTTTCTACTTGGCGGAGACATACGAGGTCGGCTTAATTGGCTGAAGTCCCGGTTTTATTTATAAGTTCGAGCGAGTCTATCGCGCCTGAGAAGCCGTAGCAGACCAAGGGGATGCTGCTGATATAGCAGGGACGCTTCAGGCTGGAAAAGGAAGACACCGGGCGACGGGGTCTGCACGACAAATAACCCTTATAAACGGTACACCATAACTCTGAGCTCCTGCCCTCTTCTCTTCGTCCTGCTTGACAAACTGAAATGAAAATCATGGGGATGTTGTGTGCAGCAACGAGAGAAGGGATGTCATGAGCGGAGGGAGGAAAACCCGAACGAGGAGAGGATGGTTAAGGGTTGGAGAGTGGTGGTGGTGGTGGTGGATGCTCGAATGCCGGGGTACTTGATTACGTTGCGATAATATACATGATGCCGATATGAACTCTGCCTAGCCACGGTGTCGTTCGTCTACCGACGCGATATTGTGTAATGGCCAACTGGAAATGGTCCAGTGAGTGGGATACAGTGTGGCCCATACGACTCTGTGACTTTGTTGCCTTGATAATAGATCGGTGCGGATACGATTGTAAATATGACGCGTTTATTGCTTTCCGTTTCGATTCCTGCCCGGCCGTGAAAGTGCCTACAGGACACCATTGTTGAGTGCTATCATAGAGGAACCATTGGAGAAAAAGGGATGTTAAAAAATGGCTATTTTTGATTTCACGTCGAAACAAAAATATCGAACTTAGTTCCGTCGGAAACCATCAATGGTGTTCTATGTATAGATAAAAAAATCTTCCACTTTTTTGATTCATTTCTTTGATAGGACGCCAGGTGCAACTCTTATTAACATTATTAATTTCACCAGTTGGTTCGATATCGGCACGTCACTTACCTTCCAGATATCGTAGTCAGGCATACGGAATAATTATTCATAACAATTAAACCCTTCGAGCGAAATTAATTTCTCGGTTTATCGCGTAATAAGCGGCGGCACACGGGGTGGTCCGGATGGCGTTTAACTGAAATTAATTGTTCCAAACGAACCACTCCACCAACGGAAAAAGCGGAAGGGTCGTCGAGCAGTAGAAATCGTATTATGGCCATTTATGTAGTTCGATATATAAACCGTATGCGAGCAAAAGGCACGAGGCAGATTGCTTACGGCCGTCGAGCACAAGGGGTTGCTTTTGGTCTGTGCGCACCGTGCCGCCGGCTGAGGTGAATCAGAAGGGGTTTTTACGAGGCAGTAACGGCCGATAAGGTGAGCTTGCGCCCCCCACAGACGGCTTTATACCGGTACTGTACCCAAGTGGCTGTTCGACACTACCTATCCTCCTGTCCTACACTCTCTTACTTTCTGCTGTTGGACTCGCTTGCAACTTCCCCACGCTCTATCTGTAATCGTTTACGCAGTCTTTTCCTTTCTTTTCTTCCAAACTCTTACCATAAGAGCTATCCTGTTTCTTGTGGTGTTATCGAGAGGGTTGCGGGGATTTTCGAGCGTTATTCTTCGAAGCCACCAATATCTTATACGTAGTGTATGCTACTACTTGTAAAGAGAATGGTGGTTTGGTTTTTTAAGCGTAGGTTGGATTAAAAGATCGTGGTTTATTTGAAATTCTAATAGGACAAAGACTTCGCGAATCTGCTAGATTGTGTTCGATGATAAGGTAGCTGTTTAGGAAGCAAAGCGTGGGGATTGTAAATTCGTTTCAAGTGGTTAAAGAGATGTTTCCATGGATACACGTGACCAGCTGTTTGGTAAGAACTATCGACAGTAAGAACTTTCGAGTAACTATTAGTTTATAAATATCGTTTACATTTCCTGATTGACTACTTCGAATCTGTTTGTGTCAGCGAAAGTTGAAGCTTTAGTTATAGCTAAACAGCACATGTGGTGGTATCGCTATTAAAAGACAACACCATAGAGTTGTTCCGTTCTAATAACTTATTTGGCAAGAAGCCATTATGCTGCTACATAGTCACAAAAAGGTTAACAACGTTAATTCTCGTCTCAAATTTATGCCAGCGTCAACGTTCGTTTCTAGCGATCCACTTAGGATCCAATAAACTACTGCGCATCGTTCGCGCGCAGAGGTATCAGCTACTCTCTCGATCTCTTTGGTAGCCATCTAAGAGAGACTCAAAGGAGACCTAGTGCGCGCGAACGTTACTGATCACTATGAAAAAGTATTATTCGCGGAGACACAATCCCGAAAGACAACTTGTGATTAAAAGAAATAAAATGAGAGCTCGTTTATGAACGTTGTTTGGTTTTGTTGGTTACAGGAGCGAACGGAATGCGCAGGCGCGGCCGACAGACTTACACGCGCTACCAGACGCTCGAACTCGAAAAAGAATTCCACACGAGCCACTACCTCACCAGGCGGAGGCGGATCGAGATGGCACACTCTCTCTGCCTGACGGAACGGCAGATCAAGATCTGGTTCCAGAATCGGCGGATGAAGCTGAAGAAGGAGTTACAGGCGATCAAGGAGCTGAACGAACAGGAGAAGCAGGCGCAGGCGCAGAAGGCAGCGGCAGCAGCGGCCGCGGCTGCGCACCAGCAGCAAGCGGCCGGTGGGGGACCGGATGGGGCCAACTAGGGGTACGCCCTGCACCGGAGCCCCCCTGACCACCCCACCACCAATCCACACCACCCTCTGCTAGCACCACAATGTACACAGCTATATTAAAGGTGAGTGACTTTGGTACTGATGTTCCTTTTCTCCCTCTTGTTCGGCGCTACACCCTTCTACCCTCTTTGTTACCTTTCTTTCCTTTTTATTTGTCTTTGTTCTTTCATCTTCTTCGACGGCTTCCCTTTGGGTCGTTTAACCTGTTAAGCGGACAATTTCCAGTTTGATCGAAAACCCCTCCTGTATGGAGGAATGAAGAACTCAGACCGATGAGCCGTACTTGACTAAAGAGGTAGTTGTGTGATCGAAGATAAACGATTTAATATCGAAGCTTTGGTAAAGGATACAGTTCAGATTTAATCGTTGTTAATGTAAGAGCTAGCTGCATCCGGAACAGTATATTGAAGGTTAAGTGTAATGAGATGGTTGTTAGCAATACGCATCTAACTCTTTTTACAAATATTTTAACGTTTCCTTTCATCAACTTCGTAATTAAAGCAGAGCGGTATGTAGAAATTATTAATTTCAATGGCGTTAAATTTAAAAAATTTGTAAATTGGCTGCTTGCAATTGAATAAAATTGGTCGAGGTTTAATCCTTTGTAACCAAAGTTTAGAAAGGGGGTTGAAGGGGCTCGAAGTTAATGGATTTCGTCGACGTTGAATAACGGGCTCCGCAAGGTCTTGAGCGCGCATTAAGCTTGATATATCATCGGCGAAAGTTACCGTGTCCTGAAGAAAATGCTCGGCTAAAGAGTATTGCTGGCTTTTAGCTGTGGCGGCCTTTAAAATTAAGTTTAGCCGGTACACTTAATGAGGATAAACCACCTGCGAGCGTGTACCTCCATAATTTCCTAAGTTATTCTGTTTGCGTGCATTTAACTCGTGTTCAAGCTGCATCTCAAGGGGTTGCCGCGGCAACGAGCCCCGTTGAAATGTTGCCCCGTCGTGATTTTCGTATTTTTCTACATTCTAGGATATCCGTGAACGTTAATGAAGCGTCTGCAATTTTCTCGATTCGCCCTGTTTATTCCGCTCACGTCCGTTAGATTATAGTCCATGCTTGATAGAAGCATGGTTGAAAGACGCAAGCTTCAAATAGTCACAATATTTACAACTTTTCTGGTGTTCTTCTATTTTTTTTCACTATTCTTGTGAAAAGGGAGAAGTGAAAACTGCTCCGTGCCTATCGTTTCTCCTAAAAGGGGGTGCGAGGGTGAAAAAGAAAGTAGAAAGTTTCGAGTCAGGTAAAAGAAAAAAGGAAAGAAAAAGGCAGATACAACCAAAAACGGTGCCAATTTCAGTACGCTATCTGCCTCGAAGATCCTTCGGTATAATTTGTATTTTAGTCCAGGGAACGACCATTCGTTCCCAGAAAACGAACGACCCTTCGAATTGCTTCTCGGTCGAGGCAATATCGGCTGTAAAAAAAGGTCCTCGCTTTTTCTGCGCTTTCACGAAAGTCTCTGTTGCCGGTTCAGGCTTTTATGACTCTTTCCATGTTTGGGTGGAAAAAACGATTCCCGGGAAATGTCGTCCGCGGACGCTTTGTGCCGATCAGGGCGACAGTCAGCTAACGTGCCGCTTTCATTTCGACTCGGTATCCTATCTCTTTTAGCACTTTTTAATTTTGCTTTTCTCTACTGAATTTTTTTTCTATCATTGCTTTTAATCCCGGCTATATTTTTTCTAAACATAGTAACTAATTAATTACAACAGTTTAGTTTATTATTGTTGGACAGTTTAATTAGATAATTTATAAAGCAGTTTTCCACCGGCTTCATCTCGAAATCTCATTATCAGTCGCGCGCGATTGCACCAGCCGCAGGGAAGAAGAATTGGCGCGATAATTCGCAGTCGTTCCTAATCATATCTCTGCCAGATAAACGGAAAAGTTTATAAAGTTCCTTTTGTTCGTACGCAAGCAGTATCTCACCAAGCGAAGGAATTCGCCAATTAACTCCACGAACTGCATCGTAATTGTAGGCTGTGTGCCCTGCCGAGAACCGATTCCAAACGAGCACTATCCCTGATTCCCAGTGTGAGATGTTTAATCGATGGACTCCGGGTTTCTCGTTCCTCCACGTGTTGAAGCGCGACGAAACACCATTTCGGTGGTTGTCGTTGCATCAAACATTCGCGTTTTCACCGATCTATACGAAATTCGGTTTTCAACGATGTCAGTTAGGTGGCCTCGAAATAGGTTAGGATTTTAGACTTGCAAATGGCGTAGTGACATGCATCATGAATGCATTATGAGTTGTGACCCGCATCAAAGTCTCCAGGGGAATAAAGATTGGAGGATGTAACGAGGTTGAAAATGATTTGTTTTAATCGTTATAATTTCGATATTTCTTATAAAAATTTAAAAAATACATCATATTACCCAGAGCTTTCATTGAGACGGTCTGACGTTATCTTAAGAAATGTCACGCGGTAGTTCCTCGTTCAAACCGAACCGGAAATAATCAGCCTTTTTTCTGTTGTTTTTCTTCCGTAGCAACGATAATCTCGCGTCTTCCTTTATCGTTCGCGTTCTTTATCGGTCGCGACTGTGGCCGAGCACGTTTTTATGACGCAAAGTAGATCGTTAGTCGTTGGATGGAACACTGCCAGGAACTATAATCGCGTTACGCTCGAATTGTGGTGCCCGGTGGTAGCAACGTTGTTGTATCGATACGCGAAATCGATTAGTGCAATAATAAATTGCGATTTGAGTTATATTACCGTATTAATTACATATTTACGACGTTATTTATTTCCCCACTTCTACACACACGCGCATACCCGCGGGTTTCTGTTGCATTGTTTCGGCCACTCATTAAATCGTGCATTGATAGCGGAACCGCATTAAATTCGCGACCGTGCCACGCTTTGATAATATAATGAGATATACATATTTTAGAGGTGTTTTTTTAAATCTTTCTTTTGTCGTCGACGAGATTTACATTTCATCATTCTTGATCGACGGTTTTTGTTGCTACAGACAAAGCCAGTTAAGATCCAATTAAGAAAGGACCAACCCGCTATTGTGGGTAGTCACAACCTAAGAATTTGACGGACCTCTAGCAGCGTGCTTCCATACGTCACCTTTTCTTTTTTTTGTCACCTAAATAAAGAACGGGACACACCGAAAGAGCTCCTCTCGCGAACCGTCTCCCGATGCCGTGACGCAGATATACGCGCAGATAAATTTTGACAGTGAACAAGAAAAAGCAATTTAGAAGTATTCTGGCGATCTACTTTTATAGGAAAGAGTTCGCCCGTATAGACGATAAATCCTGCGTCCTGGTACGAGTCTAAAAGCTAGAAATATTTAAAGGGGTATTTCTGATCCAGAGATTTCGTATCGATTTGCGAGTTCTTTATTGCCCTTTCTAACCTGGACGGGTAATACAAAGATCGTTAAGCTTTTGTTAATTTATGCTCAAAACTTAGTTATTTTCTGTTTGCATGTAGTCATGCTATAAGGAAGTTACCAGCCAGAGTTATAGTAAACGTGGGTTAGAAAGGAATGCGAGTGACTTTATGGGAGTTGATATTTGGTTCACAGTATTGCGATGCCATCTAGTGGCTTTAACGACATCGAGCTTAATTATGGCCGCCTCACCCCCGGCTTTCGAGGGCGTGGTTAAGGCGGAGACAATCAGCGCCGACTATTCCATCGTATTGGTTCGTCACAGTTTATCGTCTTTCATTGGCATAAATAATTTTTTCGGGAAAAATAAAGCTTTTCTATCGCATTTTTCGATAGATTCGCGGAAATGAAAATTTTTCACAATAAAGCGACGCAACGATGACCTCCGAAGCGGAGAATTGTAGTACTCTGCGTGGCGCTATTTTTTCGTTAATTGGTCGTTTCTGTCGTAGAGGGCAGCACGTAATGAGCCGTTCTTGAACGTTATAGCAGCTGTTCTGCCTTATCGACGCCTCACTCGGTACGGCGTTTAATTTAGAGAACTCGCTCCTACTTACCGCCTATTCTACGGTAGTCCAATGATTGCCGGTAATGCGTTTTATGGTTTGTTTTTATCGACATGGTCGTACAGTAACTTACAGTGGTGTTTCTGGTTCTCATCGTGGGGCTTCGTCGCCCGTACGAACACCAATTCATGTGTATCCGTGTTTCTCTTCTGCATCCGATAGTCGGGCTCTCGCATTTTCTCTTGGCTATTCGTCAATAAACCAATAAAGTCGCCGCGACTAGCGCTACCTCATGAAGACAAAACAAAGTAAAGGACACTGTTTGATTTTATTGGGCAGTAAAGTGTGATTTCGACAGATTGATACATGATCTTTTCTCTTTGTTTCATCGTCGCTCCCTCCCCTTCGCTCTCTTGTTCTTTCCCGCTCATATATTTTCCAACCGCTTGCTCGTCAAACGGTAGGTCGGGGATCTTTATTGGCTGTAGAGGAAGACATTTTACGATCCATAAAAGCGTTTATAGCGCTCCAGCAGTCTTACCTCGGTTCTTACACCCCAGTTATATCCATTACCCCTTCCGCGGCCTTTCCAAGGGCGGCCACTGGCACGCGCTCGCTCTCTCCACCGCCTTTGAGATTTACAGGTTACGCTCCCGGTAACACCTCGTAAACTTGGCTTAACGACTTTAACCGGGCCTAACTGCTTCCTTCCTGCAATCAGACCCTGACCTACCTCTCACGTAAACGTCCTAGAAAAATTTCAACGGTACCGTAATTCATGACATCACAGACCCTTCAGTTTTCTCCAACTTCGCGATTTAATCTAGTATTCTTTTACGTACCCCGGTGTCATTATCTTAAACATACCTATACTCTCCAGATCTTATACGGCTACTCTATAAGAAAAGTTCAACTTTTTTCGGATGCTCTGGGGATATTTATCATCGCGTAGGGAACTAGTTTTCCCCTCAGGAAGGTTAGCATCCTTAATTGTGTACTTTTTTTGAGTTCTCCAAGACTAAGGGCAAATAATGGGTGGTTCCTCCCCCTACTTTTACTCTTAACTAAGAGAAGCCCACATTGCACCCGAGTGTGCATGCAGCAGGTGCGTACGACTTCTGAAGTGGAACGTGTTTTGCCGTGTCTTACGAGAGCAGAGACACGCGGGCTGCTGTCCGCTGTTTTATGATTTGTTTTGATTACACTTCATTACCATTTTACGCCTTTCGTTGCCACGTAACTGCCTGGCAATAACTCTTCGTTGTTGATTCTATCGCGACGTTTACGACCGTCATTATTAGCTGATACCACTTGAACTCTCGTAAAGTCTACGCCCGTGCGATCCGACTCGTCCGGGACATCCGCTTGCACGCTGGCCCGTAGTATGAGTAGGGGGATTCCCAGCCCAGAGGGTGGTTGCTCAGAGTGGGGAGACTTACTAGTTGCCGGATCGTCCGGCAGATCGCGCCCCAGTAGTTTGTTACGTCTTAATGCTATACTTCATTTATCGGGGCTTTCTCTCTACTTTACTCTCTTATCTCACCACAGCGAATCATCATAGCCTTGGGCTCGGAACCGATTGCTTTCGACTCGATCTTGCTCTCTTTTTCTCTCTCTCTCTCTCTCTCTCTTGGCTTGTTCTCTGCTTATTATCTTCGCTTTCGTTACACACGCGCCTACTTTCTGTCGTAAATCCTCGCACGAACGACCGGCAGCGTAGTATCGCTGCATCTTGATGATTTCTGTGTAAATTCAAGGCGTCAAGTAGATTTATCTGTTGCCGTTCGGGGGAGTAATTGGATTTTGACGGACACGTCCAATCGAAGTGGTAGTGCATGTTTCAAACTATTCTTTCCTCTTCGTTTCATCATGTTTTTGAACTCGCGACTCGGTGATTTTGTAGATTGCATTTTCATTCCCGCCATAGATCCTCGTGACGAATATTCGAATGCGACCAACGGTTTGTTTACTCCAGGCTCGGGAAAATTCATCTTCCTGTCCTACATTGATCGGTGCAATAATGTACGGCAGTTCAAAACTGTTTGTTCATTTCTTTGTACAATGGAAAAATATTTCTGTGCGTATAAGATCGAGATTTAAATACGAAAGGGATGTAAGGGATTGCATTTGAATTTATATTATTGCAAAGTCCGGTAATGCATTTCGAGAACTAGCGCGGCGCATGAACAAGCATAAACAAAAGCTTTTTTGAGCGTTGTGATAGCTTAATAACCGCGACCGTTGATCCGGAGGACGAAGGAAGCCGCGAATTTAGCAAAACCCGGTTTTGTACAAGCGGTATTAGCATTTAAAAATGAACAGCGCCCCGTCTGCTGGCGCCATTGGACCACATTTACACAACAATGAAGGGCCGCGCTCTAAAAACTCCCAGAATCCCCTTGGCTACGAAGTCAACGGAGAAAGAGCAGCAGAGACGGCGGATGAAATAGAAGGAGAACGGAGAATCGTAACGCCATCTCGATCTTCTCTTTACTTTCTCCTTTCCTCCTCAAATCCCGCGTGTTTCACCCTGTCTCTCTGGGCCCCTACCACTTCAGATTTGAGGTTAGGGTGGTGTGGGCCGCAGAAAGGCACAAGAGGCAACGACACAGGCCTGACTAGAGAATCTCTGGCAACACAAAACCAAAAGGCTTCCATGGCCTTTTTTTCTTTCTTTCGTTTCTTTTCGGATCTTGGCTAGCCACAGATTGAAAGGGAGAAAGAGAAGACGATATATTCTTCGCTCCGTCTGGCTGGATATTTCTACACACGATACACACTACACCATCCTGTTGTCTGAGCTACAACGTGATGGCTGTACCTGCGACGTTGCCAAATTATCTTACGTAACCATGTAATTTTTCTAGCTATGGTCGACACTGTACAGGCGATTTCCAACGATTTTTCCCCCCTTACAAACATGTGTTTCGAAGTAGAGAGTGAAGTATACAAAAATTTTTTGTCTAATTGCGTTATAGTATGGCCATATAGTATGAGTTCATTGTCAGCTATGGCTGCTGAGCCGATACGATGACACTTTCGAAGTGACGCGTTCGTATTGCCCGTAGAGAAATTAACACACTCAGATCAATGTTTTCCGACATTTCACGACTTGTCGCGTGGTAAAAGAGCCACGACAAACGTTTCAGGAGCAGTTTTACGCCTTCTTCGTTACGGCTGAAAAAGCACCGACCATGGTGTGCCGTGTTGGATTTCTGTTTCGTGTCTCGTGTGCGCGATTACATGGTTCGTTTAACGCGGAAAGAATGACCATGTACACGTTGTCTATCAATTCCAGCGGCTAGGTTCGTTTCATATCCTGTTCCGGGGGCAAATATCAGGGGAGACTCAATTAAAAGAAACGCATCAAATCAGTCGAATAGCTCGGTCGATTCGCTTGGCGTCGCTTGTTTCCAGTTTCGGACGGCTGCTTATTTATACAGACCACCCGGGAGCGAGATCGCGTTGAAATAAAGTGGTACGAGCTAAATGTTCCTTGACCACGCGCGATCGTGCTCGTGCTGTCTTTCTTTCTGGCGCGCGTGAGCTCGTTCCCATACACATGCGTAATAAATATCCTGTGCGGAATTTATCATTGTTCGCTTTGCTTTATCGCCCGACGAGATTAATGTCTTTATACGAGTCGTGAGGAACTTTCGTCATTTTTGTAGTTCACACCTTCACAATTGTTCGGTTATTTTGCTACCAGTGGTCTTCTCGCATCAAGGTAATCGACGTGTCAGTTCAAAGCATTTTATAACTCTAGCGAATGTCTTCAGTTTACAAAGATTCCTCGTGTAATGTGTTAATTGTACGAAGGGAGCACTTCTGTGCATCAATCTCCCCAGGTTGAATCTACAGTTTCGTCGTCAATCCGCTTACACAGATAGTAATACCAAAATAATCTTTTTGAAATGTTCCTAAAGTTCTTGTAAATTTTCTTACACCCATGAATCACATAAAAAGCTAAGGAACTTTAGGGAAATTGAAGGGTTGAAAATACTGTCTAATTGCGATACAGTGGACGGGATGCTTTAGCTTGTCATCAAGATGCACTTGGTTTTACCTGTTTTTTACATTTTTACGCCACTATAATCTTCGTTACTGTAATGTGTCAGAAAGTTGCACATCTTTCACATAATGGGAGGGTTAGGACGGGGGTTGGTTACGACCACTGGTGGTGGGTCTCCCTCGATCCTGTGAGAGATTATTCTCGCATCAGCCTGCCGTTCTCGCGGTAAATTATTCGTTTTCAACTAAAAACGGACAATGAAATAAAAGTTTCGGGCCAAAAGTTTACGCTTCTTGGCCACGTAAATCATCTCGGCGCGAAGTAGCACAAAAAAAGTTTGGTCGCCGGTGTGTACGAGAGGGTGGCGGCAAAATATGAGAACTAATTGTGACGCACTCCGCGGAGAGTTAAATCGCACGCTGCCTTGAGGGGTTAGAATTTTGAGGTGGCCGGTATTAGGCTGTCCTTTTCTCCTTTGCCCCCTCGTGTATATAAACTTAAGAAGAAGAAGACGCGGAGACAGAAAGCAAGGGACCGGTAGGCAACGTAGTTATATCCCGCGCATGTTGGCAGCAACGCCAGTGTGTTTTTCATTTTCTTTATATCACCCTTGACGCTCGTAAAACCATTACCCGTGACCAAGCGAACGCAACTTCTATATAAAATCGTATCGGTGTGCACCCGTCTACAATCACACGATCCACGTGGTCTTTGATGATACTGAAACTCGTTCCTTTCTTTCGCTTCTTCGTTCTCCCCCGGCTCTGCTTTCGCGAGACGAACCCAATTTCCTCGGCGACGGATACCACCCTCGGAGTTTCTATACTTGCCCGGCTATCAGAAGGTCCTTCGCTTTTTCTCGAAGATTGTTTAAGTAAATCAATAGTCAGGTACAATCCCAGTGTTCGTGCAATCATTTCTAATCTCTAGGTTAGCTTATTATACTTTTGTACAACTGAAATACACCGCAATGGCTCATTACACCGAGGCGTCGAGACACCGGATCTTGATACCCTGATGTGTAGATAAGTCAGTTACTGACTCGGTCTAGCGCGTTCCACCATGGAACCTTTTTTGCGTAGCGCGCCCTCTTATTGCTTTCCTCTCTTCTTTACTCTTGCTCTCACTCCTGGTGGGTGATTCATCATCGGCGTCGTCCTCTCTCGTTTCTCTGGCTCGGCTGGCTGGCTGGTCTGACTGGCTGGTTCGCTGGCTCACTTGGTTTCTGGCTTTCTGGCCCCTGGACCCCTTGTCTCTTTCTCTCTTTTCTCTATCATTCGTTTGTCTTCCTTTTCTACCTCCCCCTCAGACCTATATACTCGTTTTACTCCTACACTGGAGCCGTACCAACATGCAGTTCTGGCTCGGTAGGGCGCTCTTTCGCGCTGTTGGCCTATAGGTATTCCCGCACTCCGGGCGCATCCTGAAGTCGCCGGCCGCAGAGGTGGCTCTACTGGATCGTTGAACAATTCACACCTAAATTTGAGTTTCACTTGATACAGTAACGGCCCAATCACTTTTTTAAATTATAACATCGAGTGGAGATAAGAACATTAATATTTTGACTCTTGTCTCGTCGGTTCCAGAAGTTAGGACAGCTACCAACGCTGTCTTTACTTCTCCTATAGTCTCCCCTTATTTTGTGTGCACCCGGCTAAGATATCTGCACAGACAGGTACACCCACTATAAGGGCGAATACGCGTCGCTATAAAACATATGAAACGATATATTACCCAGCGATATCACTCTGCAGCACGAGGCGATACGGTAATATTTCGCCCAGGAACGCTTGGAAATGTTGCCCCGTGTCAGCGGTGTAAGCACTGCGGGGGCACGGCAGAAATCGTTGGCTACGGATCCTTCTTATTTCCTCGTCTCTGTTTCTGATATTCTCTCTCGCCGTCAATTGTCTCCATGATCAAATGCGATGCTTTTCCTCGTTCTTCAATGGATGATTCAATTATAGGATACATGGAGCTGTGTTCAAACTCTCTCGACTACTATGATTATTGATAGTATCGCAGACGTTGCCTCCATTGTTGGAAGTCTCCCATGTCACGGATCAGCGTTCATCGTTCCCAGCAATGTTTTTAGCACGATTCGCCATTGAACTCGATGGTTAGATAAGCAATTCGTTGCGTGTTTTAAACTAGTCGGTCCAGCGTGAAATATCGTGAGGCTTTTCAAGAACGACGTCGAGGAATAGCCAGGCTCGTTTAGAAGAGACCTCCGTTGGTTTTGAAGATGGGATTCCGGTAATTCGACGCACTGAAGAACGAAGAAAGACCGAGGAAGTTACTCAAGAGCGAGAGACATTGGGATACAAAGTTGAAGTGAGAATGACCGAGCGATGGACAGAGATGGCGTGAAAGGGTGGAGAGGTAAAGAGAAGTGGGTTGGGTACGAGGGATAGAGTAGGGGCGGGAGGGCGTTCCACGGCACCCTGCATGGGGTAGCTTGCAACCTCACGCGACACTAGAGCCATCTATATCCCGGGAGATTTATGAGTTCCTGGTGCAGCGGCTGCTCGCAGTAACTACACACCACGCAGTATCGGTCCGGTATGGTGTCGGTGCTGCCCCCTGTCGCGACGGGCGTGCTGTTGCCCCGCGGGGGTTACGCGCAATTCGCGCTCGTGCAACGTCGACCCGATAAAAAACTTGCGGCTCGATCTCAATCCAATGCTTCTGCGAATTTCCCCCGTGTACCCCTCTGTCTCGCACCTCTTTTTCTTGCTTTCTTCACATCGCGACCGACTTTATTTCTCTCTTTCTCTCTTTTGTCTACTTGGTCATGCAGTTTGGACCTGAAATATCGATCATCATTGTGTTTCTTTTACGTTTATAGACTGTGAAAGGATTGAAATTATAGGTCGACTTGTTTGCGCTCGTGGCTGGACTGGAATCTTTAATCCTGTTTGCATGCTTCGATTTTTATTTGATCGATTACAGCGAACCCTCCACATAACACGGATTCAATTAACACAGTATAAAAATTGTGACAGTGTTCGTATAATGCGTCAAAGAACTGCTATGTACGTTTTGTAGGGATAAGGCAAAATTGACTTAATCATGTTCTAGATTTAAACATATAAAGCAACAGTGTTTAAGTACAGTGTTAAAATGCTAAAGTTATTGAGCGATAGAGTGATTTGACTTCGTTTCTCAAACGAAAAGAAAGCGGGCAAGATAGCATCTCGTTCAAACAAAGATCCCTTGCAGTAAAAGAGGATGAAAAAGGAACTAAGCAATCGGCATCGATATGAATCGATGGAAGAAAAGGAAGGGAAAGACTACTCGTAAGTCGAGATTTTTCAAGTGCCCCCTCGACGCAGCCGTCCATTCGCGCGATATCCTGCAGGGCTATCTGATGAAAATAGCGAGAGTGGGACTTTTCTCGGGTGGTACCAAGGGTACGGGAACGACGACAACGATATGAGTACCGGTATCTATCTACCTATGCTTCTGCTCTCCAACCCAAACCCCCACCCTCTTGATGCGGCCGGTTTACGAGCAACCTGTGGTAACGAGAGCGATAGATAATAACCGCTCCGTGCTCAACCCCATCCCTTTCCTCTTCCACTTCCATTCTCGCTACCCTTTTCTCTTTCCATCCTTCTTCGTCTCTTGGAAAACCTCTCACGTGAATATTACCTTCGCTTATTTTTGCGGCGATTGGCGCCTGGATTTTTTAATCGATTTTGAATGATAGTTACAGTTTTAGTTCCAATTTTAATGGTAAGATTAAAAAAATATATTTATTCATCCTAAAGCATTACTCTTGACAAGGGTTGGTAGTTGTTTCGGCCGTGGACGCATCGAGATTCGTGCTTTTGGTTTTTGCGAGCTTTAAGTAACGTTAGACTCGCGACGGTAAAGGCACACGGAACGGAAATTTATTGCGGCTTAAAAACTTCAGCTTCCTTCGGAAATCCTGATAAATGCGCGCGAAGGAGCAACGCTCGCGTACGTATGTATGTACGTTAAACTCGGCCCTGGCAAGCCGGTTGCTCGCATAGCTGGGACGAAGGCGAAGTGACTCTAGGCCGAAAAGCAAACTACGGCAAAAATGAAATACAGCCACGGACAAACAAACGTCTCCAGTAGGGCGGTTCCACTCGAGTCTCTTTGAATAAATTTCCTGGATTTCTTCCTCGATTCGTTTTCTGTAACATCTTGATCGGTACCTTGTTACAGTTGCTGGAGAAAAGTTTGAAAAACATTCTATAAGAATAAATGAAAAACTAGTTCCTGTTCTTAATAATTCGATGTTCGAATAATATTTTTTTTTCACAAGAAGTAAAAAGATATTGCAAACGTAGCGTGAAAAGAATCGATCAATAGGATCAAAAGGAGCAACTTTAAGTCACTGTCGAATATTCGAGGCGAGCAAAAAAAAAGCGAGTTGTATAAGCATTTGGATTGAACAGTTGGCGCGAGTTTGGGGCTGTAAAATGTGCCGACCTTGCCAAGTGCTTGGAACATCCTCTCCTTTGCTTTTCCGTTTCTTTAACCGCTTTTGCGACGACTCGGCCAGCGCAGTCCAAGGTATACAACTTGGTCGAAAACTTTGCAAAAACAAGTAACATATCATCACTTATCGAAGATTGGGCCAACCTCAAATATGAGATTGTTAAACTAAATATTCTGAACTTGTTTTGTAAATGAAGTAGTCAGAAGCAAAGACGTGGGAATGGGGGTTTGCCACTTGGACAGGTAGAAATCTTGTCACCTAAAAGGTCAATATCGTACTTTGGCGAATCATGAGTACTAGAGGACACCAAGAATGCACAGGCTGTCGAAGACACCTTTAAAAGGGAAGATTAAAAGGTGGTGTGGGCAAGAAAGTGGTTGGATGGCAGCGGGTTGGCAATGCGCTGGCTCGGGTGTCCTGCTATTCCTCCCTGAGACCTTCCCGATTCAACCCCTTTCGTTCTTAACGCGTCCTATCGATATCCCGAGATACAGACACCACCAAGCACCGGGCTCAACGTGCGTGTGTCCGGACAAGGCACCACGTGCATTCATCCCATTACAAAAGGAGCTGAACCAGCTCCGGTGACCCGACCCTGTCGTGTCCTGGACACGTTCGACATATGAACCTACGTAGCCCCCGAGAGTGGAACCTTGAAATGACATCTTCGTCAATTCACCACCATCTTCGAGAACGAATGAGTCTGGTCGGTATTTTGATTTATTTCTTTAATTTCCGGTACTTAGGGCTTGGTAAATGTATTATATGTTACAGTATTATCATGTTGCCTATCATTTCCTCAAAGACCGCCACTTACACATAGTAACATATTTCGTAAATCTGTGTGTTTTCACAATTCTGCATTATTTTTCCAATGAATGAAAACGAGATTAGGGAAAGAAAACGTTTGCAAAGCATAAGCGCGTGTCACCTAACCCGTACATTCTGATTTCTGTTTCAGGTGAGTGGCAGGTTGCATCCACTGTCTCTGTAATGCCAAATAGATGGCCGATGTGCGTATCTGTCGATCGTCAATTTATCGGTTGCGGCGAATCGGATGCTGCACCCGGTGAGTGACGAACCCGCCTCTCGCTCCCCTGCGCCAGCACCACCACCACCCCCATGGAAACTCCTGTAGCTCACTTTGACCAATATTCCCGCAGACCAATCAGTATCCAAGTGCACAGAGAGACGTTCGTACAAGCCTGGTATTGTCGTAGTTGTGCCCCATCCCAACCCCCTTCTGCTCTCTCTATCTTATAGTTTCTGCTTAGCGTGCAGTAGTGTGTAGATAGAGGGGGGTGAGTTACAGGAGTAAGCTACATTCTTACGGACTTTCTGTCGCGTCCACGGAACGGACGGGAGACAAACGTGGAAAGAAACGAAGAAGAAATCGAGGACGACCAAGAACCGGGGATTGTTCCGGTTCCTTGTTGGTTCGTTGTTTGTGTGGTGCGATGCGATAAGGGTGCGCGCAAACTCTGAAACCTAAATACGTAATGAAAAGGCTAAGAGATAACTAGTAAGTTAACGCTTGGGAAATAAGGAAGTATCCTTGAGTGTCAACGACGAAGGAGAGGTTATTAAAGATGATCATCGTCATCATTAGGAGATGGGGATTTTGAATGAACATAGCCACGTGTTTCCCGGTGACAATTTCTTCACGCAAAAGTTATGTACAAAATGATGAAAAAAGAATATTTCCCCCTTCTCTGTTTGGTTCGTTTTCTTCGAGTCCTTCTGTTGTTTTCTCGCTCGGCGATACAACCCTTTCGAAGCGTATCATGCTACGACTGCTGTTGATGTTATGTTTTTGTTAAATTTTTTTTAATTATTATTATTATTGTCTGCAGAACGACATCATAACACGCCTCTGTCGTGGCCGTGTTTCGAGCACAGCCTTACTTCAGTATTGAAAATAAAGAAAAGGTGGTGCATTGATACAGTGGATACGGTACACGATAGGAACGTGTTACTTTCGATCGGTACAAAGTATATATGTTGATGTTCGATAATTTTGTTAAATATTATATAGAAACGTTTATGCGACGCGTTGAGCTCTCTGCACGCTCTGAAATAGAGTGCGGAGCTGATACAGTCCTCACGAGTCGAATTGTAGCTTATATTTTCCATTTGAGATTCGTTTTCTTTCGTGCTCTTCAGTTTCTTCTGCTGTGTGTTTCTTCTCGTACTATTCAGTTATTTCCACTGTTCGTTTCGTACTCTTCAGTTTCTTCCGCTATTCGTTTCCTTTCGTGTTCTAGTTTCTTTTGCAGTTCGTTTTAATTTTCTCCCTTCGCTCTATTTATCTGTTTTACAGACACACACACGCATTCTCTTTCTCTCTCTCCCCCTCGTTCTTTCTCTCTCACTTCGATTCGTGAAGCAGGAGAAAAAAACAAAACGATAGATTCTACGAGCAAGAATATTACATTGTACGTACCTACCTAGTACCTATAGTCGCCTACCCAGACACGAAGTGTACGTGTGGCGCTATCCTAAGGCAGTAACAACTATTCTAGTAAATGAATGTATACGAATAGTCGCTAAGAGACACGCAGGAAGTAATAGGTAAACGCAGTATTTTTAAGAGGAATGTAATGTTATTAATTATTTATTTCGTGGATCTCGGAGATGTGGGAAGGAAAAAAAGAAAGGAACAAAATTAAAAAGAAAAAAGGAAATATTTTGTCGCCTCTTGTTTATGCTGTTACACACAGGCGCATGTGTGTAGGCCTGTGTTTAAGAGGGGCAGTAGCCGTACGTGTGAACCCCGTGCGTGGCGGACATTTTGTGTGAACGTTTGCAAGATGGCAAAAGGAGTAGAAAGGGAAATAGGAACAGCATCCTCTGTTGTAACATATTAGGGTATCGATTGTTTACCAATCTGGATCCTGATTTTATGTAATCCGCGAGAGCGACCAGGGCCGTGCCTGCTGCCTATTTCACAAGCCTTGTACGT